ACCAAATGACTCCTCCTTATACGCCGCAATCTAATGGAGTGGCGGAAAGGAAAAACCGGTCTTTAAAGGAAACAATGAATGCATTGTTGAATAGTTCCGGTTTACCACAGAATTTGTGGGGGGGAAGCTGTTTTGACGGCGAATTTTATTTTAAATAGAGTACCCCACAGAAAGACACAACAAACTCCTTATGAGAAATGGAAAGGCGAGAATGCCTAACTTGAATTATCTCAAAGTGTGGGGGTGTTTGGCTAAAGTTGCGGTTCCTAAGCCTAAAAAGGTTAAGATAGGACCAAAGACCGTTGACTGTGTCTTTATTGGATATGCTCAGAATAGCAATGCATATCGTTTTCTTGTTCACAAGTCAGAGATCCCAGATATACATGTTAATACGATTATTGAATCAAGGGACGTTTCGTTCTTTGAAAATATATTTCCGTATAACATAGTATATGAGCCAATTGATAATAACAAGAGGCCTCGAGATACCATATCTAGAAGTGATCCAATGGAGGATGAACCTAGACGTAGTAAAAGACAAAGGACTTCCACGTCTTTTGGACCTGATTTCTTAACGTATCTGTTAGAGAATGAGCCTCGGACATTCAAAGAAGCTGTGACTTCGCCAGAAGCCCCGTTCTGGAAAGAAGCTATCAATAGTGAAGTTGAATCCATCTTGTCAAACCATACATGGGAATTGGTTGACCTTCCTCCTGGGAATAAACCACTACAATGTAAGTGGATTTTCAAGAGGAAAATGAAAGCGGATGGTGCTATTGATAAATATAAGGCTAGGCTTGTAGTAAAAGGATACAAGCAACGAGAAGGTCTTGATTATTTTGATACTTACTCACCTGTTACTAGAATTACATCTATAAGGATGCTAATTGCCATAGCAGCGGTGTATAAGCTTGAAATCCATCAAATGGATGTTAAGACGGCCTTCTTAAACGGGGATTTGGAAGAAGAAATATATTTGGAACAACCCGAAGGGTTCATTGTTCCAAGTCAAGAGAAGAAAGTATGTCGGCTTATCAAGTCACTCTATGGATTGAAACAAGCACCGAAACAATGGCATGCTAAATTCGACCAAGTCATGTTGTCGAATGGTTTCAATATCAATGAGTGTGATAAATGTGTATATGTTAAGAACACTCATAATGGTTTTGCCATTTTGTGCTTATATGTAGACGACATGCTTATAATGGGCAGCGATAGTGAGGTTGTTAAGGTGACCAAACGCATGCTCACAAGTAAATTTGATATGAAAGATATGGGGGTTGCAGATGTTATTTTGGGAGTTAAAATCCATAAAACATATGGAGGATTAGCTCTATCACAATCCCATTATATTGAGACGATTCTTGGAAAGTGCAAGAATCTAGATATTGTACCGGTAAAGACTCCGATAGATGTTAATTTACATCTTTCGAAGAATACTGTGAAAGTAAGGCTCAAAATGAGTATGCTAGTATACTAGGCGCTTTAATGTATGTCATGAACTGTACTAGGCCGGACATAGCTTGTGCGGTTAGCAAGCTAAGTCGATTTACAGTTAGTCCAAATGAAAATCATTGGAAAGCAATGAAACGTTTATTGGGCTACTTAAAGCATACTCAAGATTACGCTTTGCATTACACAGAATATCCAGCGGTACTTGAAGGATACTTGTGATGCAAATTGGATAACCGGCACTAAAGACACAAAATCGACAAGTGGATATGTATTCACAATTGGGGGGAGCGGCAGTGTCTTGGAAATCATCCAAACAAACTTGTATTGCTAGATCCACTATGGAATCAGAATTTATTGCTTTGGATAAAGCCGGTGAAGAAGCAGAGTGGCTTCGAAATTTCTTGGAAGACATTCCTAATTGGCCTAAACCAGTGCCCGCTGTTTGTATACATTGTGATAGTCATGCGGCAATAGGAAGGGCAAGGAATGTCATGTATAACGGTAAGTCTCGACACATACGTCGAAGACATGACACAGTAAGACAACTTCTTTCTAGTGGAATTATCACCGTTGACTATGTGAAGTCAAAAGATAATATTGCGGATCCATTGACAAAAGGCCTAACTAGAGAGATGGTTGCAAAAACATCAAGGGGAATGGGTTTAAGGCCTATAAACAAGTCATCATAGCGGAAACCCTACCTAGTTGATTGGAGATCCCAAGATCTAGGTTCAAAGGGACAACTAAGTTATGAAGACAGTGTAGAGTACTGTCAAATTTTTACTCATTCCCGGATGAAGACAGTACTAATATGTGAAGGTTAAGCAAAAGCTTTTTAATGATTCTGAATTGAGTATGTGATATACTATATGTTCAGAAATCACCTATGTGAGTGTGAAGTGAGGGCCGCTTCTGTGAGAATTGAAAAGGCTGAATTCTCTAAAACACTCATGAGACCAGGCGGTGTTCATGGCCAAAACGAACACAACAGTGAGAACCAATTTTGTTCGAGAAAAAATTGTGTGATTTCTATTGTCTAGGCTTACACCAAAGGTCGACAGTTCAAAGACATCAAGTCTACTGATTGACTGAGTAAGTCCGATAGGTTTCACTAAGGAAAGTTCAAAGTCTCAGACTACTTATCCTGATGCAACGTTTTCTCATGGAATAATCGCACCTTGCATCTCAAGCATACACGCAGAGTCGTGATATCTGAACTTCTCATTCATGTGGGGGATTGTTGGGATTTTGGCACAAAATACCATAGAATTGAATGAGAAGTGTGTGGTTGAAAGTGTCCCACATAGGGTGAAGAGAGATAGGAGATGGGTTCAAATAGTTGAGCCTCACAAATGGGTTTGGGCCCCAAGGGGTACCCCACTTTTGTGGAAGAGAGAGGACCTACGTCTAGCTAGGTCGGTCCACCCCCCGCGCGCGCCGCCGCCGCCGTCCGTCCGGCCGGCTCGGTTCGGTTCCGGGTCCACTCTCTATCGGTTTTTTATTTTTCGAACAGACACGTTGTTTAGAAATTATTTATTTATTTATTTATTTTTGGACAAACAAACATGTCTGTTCGTGAGGTTCGGTTCGCCCGAACGAAAACCGAAGCCCTTCGCGCCTGTTCACGAACCAAACCGGTTTAAGGCTCGGCTCGTGACTGTTCACATGACCGAACGAAATTGTTCGGTTGGTGACTCTTCGGTTTCATCCTTCTATATCCGAAATTCCTTGGTGACTATTCATTCATACATGACCGAACGAAGTACTCTTGGCATTTCATTTTTTCGCGGCTTTCTGCTGCACTCTCATTCTTCATCGCTGTCATCTTTTGTGCGATTATTCTGCAAAGTTGCGTTCGAAGATTTCCTTTGAAGAAGTACCGCTTCATAAGAAAGGCGATCCGTTCTATCCTGGGAGGCAATTGTTCAACGACCTTTGGGTACCGGTAGAGGGGACAAATTGTCTTAAGGACACAACGTGAATTCGTTGGGCTCGGATCAAACGTCAAATTCGGATCACTCATTTCAGGTTTGTCAAACAACTTTACTTTATATGTACATACAAACACGCGTATATTGAACAACACTTGTAACCCCTATTTTTTTGGGTGATTTTTCAGTTTTGTCCTCGAGGGACAGAAGGCGAATCCACCACGTTTGGCAATTAGCAAATGTGGAAATGTGGTTAGGTCGGAAGCAAACGGGTATAAAAACTCTTACGGTAACGTCCAAAGGATGCTTCGACACTGGTCACTTTTCCATCCCTCTTTTCACCGATCAAAGAAGGTCGGGAAGCAAAAGAGCCAAGACCCTCAAGCGACCGGTCATTGGGTGGTCCAATCGGCCGCGGAAGTGATGCACGACCGCTCCTGGATCGGTCACGGGGCTAGAACTTCATAGAGAGCCCCTATCCAGTGATGGGCCAATTAGAGTTCCGCGTGAGTATAAGAAGCATAATGAGATGGTCAATCCTCAAATCAAAGTGGCGCAGGTTGCTGGTTTTAGGTGGTATGGAGTCGTGAGGATGTGGCTTGTGAGCTTTGTCCCCAGGAGTGCAGTCTGCTCAAAGACAACTTCAGGCTTTTAGCCTTTGTTATCATTTGCCAGTTTCCAACCCTGTTCCTTCTTTTTCTTTTCCTGGGGATTTGATGGCTGTCGCAGCTTCATCGGCGTGCTTCTTGACTTGTTGCCGGGTAACCGAAAATATACAACTCCAGTCCCACCCGGCAAACGGGATTAAGTTGAGAAGAAACGTCGGTTTCGAAGAGAAATTTCGGGCTGAGAGCGTGAAAAGAGAGCGCAAGGATCACGATACAAATTCACCATGGATTCTAACTTGATTAGATGTCGAGCAATCTCGTGCCAAACTAACCGGCACCAAAAACAAATGTGAAGAGTTGTACCGGTGCTTCCTTTCTGGGTGCTTACCTTTTGGTTCCCTCTTACCTTTTTCTCTTGACAGGGGAGAACAATTCCGGGAGATCGAATCTAACACAGATGCAAGGTTCTACTCTCTTATACTCACTACTATTCTATAGTATTAAATCATCCGCTTATTCACAGCATTGAAGAGAAACAATTGAGGAAAAAACTAGCAGTGGTCACATCCAGAAAAGAAGAGCACAATAAGGTAGCAAGATTAAAAACTGCAAAGGCGAAAAGATCAATCCTGCCATAGCAACCAAGAATGTATATTATGAGATAGATTGATAACTATTGAACCGCCACTTAGCAACCGAGAGCAAATGCAGCCATACCACCGGTTTTCAAATCGTCGCTGTTTCAGCTTATGAGCAACATGACAGACCCAGAGAGACTTAGGAGAGCTACGATTGAAATAACTTTAAAGGTTGTATGGAATAGAAACAAATTTCATATATGTTACACCGAGGGCTTCTGCTATGAGGTGCCTACGGAGGTAAGCACCGAAAGTCCAACTAAACTGGGAATTGAACATTATCAAACAAAAGGAGATCAGCTCTGTCAAACTTCTACTGGTGTCGTGTCCTAAATTAGGCTCGCCAACAACCTGTTCAGAGTTAGTCCTTCTCCTTGTTCAAAGCCATAGCACAGTTCTGCTTTTTAGCTCCACTTTCGGTGATACTCTGGAAAGCTGGGTTTCCAAAAATCTGAAAAGATAAAAAGTATTGAACAACGGCCTAATTATTCTCAACAATACATAAGAAAAAGATCCACCGATTGGTCCTCAAAAATCTAATAAGGAAGTCCTACATAATTTAACAGACATCATGGAGGATTGAATTTCAAATTTGAGAGACAAACTATTCAGTAAATGTTCTGATCTAACAGATCCAAGCAATGGGTTCTTTCCAGTGTAACTAAAAACAGTAAGAAAGAACAATAAGCATAACAAAGCAAATAAGAAGAGATCACACAATCGAAGGCAGTTAAGACCTGCTAGTGTGTCTTAACTTCCATCCAATGCAGAAAGTGCTTTCTTTTTCCTCTTATGTCTAGGCTTAACAGCATCCTTCAGTGTTTTCTCCACATGGGTTTGAGAGGCAATCTTAGCTGACTCGGTTGCTGGAGGTGTTACTTTCATATCTTCAGATGATCCTTTTGGACTAGCCTGTTGGGGTGGTTTCTCACTTTGCAAGTCTTTTTGCTTTTTAGAGGGTTTTGGAGTTCCTGCAAATTTCATAGGCAAAAAACCAATAGCTCTGTCATTTCCTTCATTTTATCTTGAGTACAAAAAAAAAAGAAAAAGAAAAAAAACAGTCACTCCGTGCAGCAACATCCAGAGTGATGGTAGGTAAAAAAATCACACAACTTTCATGCCTTGGAATGCACCCATATAAAGCACATGCAACGTCCAAAACGCATTTGCAATTGCATATGCACCGCTATTATTTAAGGCAAGTACAAAAAGAATTTTAAAAGTTTGTTCCACTTGACATTGAATCAGCCTTCCAATTTAGCAGGACAGCAGCTCTAACAACATTTTCGTGATACCCATCTAAATGAAGTAATACTTCTCCTGAACAGAACAGAATCATTTTGTCACTACTTAGCAATTTGGTAATAGGAATTCTCCAATTCGCTAGGCTAGGTTGCGCAACTAGCGAATCAAATCTGACAGGAAAAAAGAAGCTCCTTTTTTGGGTAGACTAGCTATCATGTTAAGAAAAGGCGGAACAAAGATGCCTGTCAAGTACACCCAGATCATATACCCAACAACATACTTCTTCCTCTATAATGTGCTCTCCAATTTTTCAATGCAGCAGTCAACAATGGCATGCCCATTTGCCAATGCCGAAATGAAGCTGCGAACCCAGGCAAAACTGTAAAAAATTGGATGCGCTGAATTCTGTCATAGGCCGACTCCAAACACCCAGTTCCATCATATGAAGAAAAGGACAACTAAAGGAAGAATCTTGTGAGCAACTCTCTGAGCACAAAAAACCAATAATAACTTCAATAAGCTACTTCACAAAATAAGGGATCCAAACTACTGCATCAGTAGATCTATAGAAAACCCAATATTACCAAAAGCAACCAATGAAGGTTTAACACAGGGTAGCTATTAGCACTTAAATTATGCAGTTCCAGTGCAAATTATCTTCATAAAAAAATATACAAACAGTACCACGCGAAGCAAGAGATAATTTCAGGAAATCCGAATCAACACCCCTCGAGTAAGGATCCCTGATAAAAAGAGGACATTTTAAGGTTAAGTAGAAATTAGATTGGATGGAGTTAAGCAAGAAGAGAAGTGCTTGAGACGGGGTAAATAGGCATTAAGAGTGGGTAATATCAAACAAAGGAATTTCATGACGTGAACAAGGATTGCATGATCCCAGTTATTGTTCGTCATTTTGAAAAATAAAACTGAGTTCAAATTATGCCAGGAGTAGAACTCAAGGAATACTTTTTTCAGATTCACCAAGGAAACATGTAGCCTCTCATAGAAAAATTCAATACGCACTATCCAGCATCAGGAACACCATGATCCACTCATATACAACAATTGCAAAGATGACCACTTGTTTCATGGTTACCAATTGTTGGGTGGCTAAAGCCTTTAAATTGCCCCTAAAGACTTTGAGAGCAAACTGTCACGCAATTTCATATTGATTGATGAGTCGAAATGTGGCACTAAAGATAATAACTTTAATTATCAGAGCTGCAGTACACGTATAGAAAAAATCAAACATCATTTTTAAAATTTACACGTTCTCCAATATCAAATTGAATTCTTCCTTAAATTCCTTCAGTGTCTTTCTCATAAAATCTATGTTTCTCAGATTTGAAAATCTATTATCCAATGTGTTCCGTGAAAAAGAAATTTTAAAGTGTACGTAATTAAGAATGAGGTGTATAATCATATTACTACACACAGAGGATGGCACCATACCAACTTGATGGACCTCCAATGAAACTCCTAGGGTTGCCATCTTTACTGTTAGTTCCTCCTTGTTCAAACGATTTTGTGACCATTTTACCTTCAATGACATTACTCTGATCAGAATTGTTTCTCTCATTCATAGGCTTCAATTTTTCCACTTGAGTAACCACTGACCCGCTGACTTCCCTCTGATCCTGAGATTTGACCTGATTTTTCCTTACAGCAGGAACAGTCCCACTGACATCCAAGGCAACAGGAGCAGAGTGGCGCTTTATCTTTCGCAAAGCTCTTTCAGTATTGTACGCCTCTACCTACATCAACAGAGAACTCCGATGATCATTCACAAAGATACGAATAGAACTGAAAAAAAAGTATCGAATGGAGGTGATCAACTCAGAGAACATATTATCTATGGAAAGAAGCAATGTGAAGAGTCTAAGATCTAAAATCATATAAATCACTGTAACCGAAACCGTTTTGCATTTACTCCCTGAAACAAGAGCAGGATGGAAATGTGATTTTGAGCTACTTGCACTAATATGTGGGAAGTCTCCAGCAACTAACCCAACATTAGGTACTCAAGAACTCAAGGCTTGAAGAATAAAGGCACGAAGTTGAACAAAAAATGCACAAACAAGTCTTCAAAGTTCATAAACACTGAAGAAGGATAAACTCACAGTGTCTCGTATCTTCACTGTTATATCAGCAGCTTTTGTACCAGCAATCCGTAGGCAATGCATTATTACACTCTGAGAAACACCTTCTCCCCCCGCTTTCTGGATAGCACATATATCACCATTGGTATTCAGAGTAGCTGTCATTCTACCAGCCATAACTGCTTCCTCCTGGTGGGTAGGATCTACCACCTGGAATTTAGTGTACATCCAGATATTGGATAGAAAGAAATCCCAACAAATGACTTTTAGTTTTGGCTCCGCAATTTCCAGGTAAACAGCAACACAGAAATCTTCCCTACCAGAGTGCTTTCGTCGCTGAAAAATGCGAAGGTGACTGCTATAGGTAAATGATGAATTATAAGGGGCAGTGGCTCCCTAACCTGTCAAAAAGCAGTAAATATTAATCAGCTCTATGCCCAACACACATACTATTTTGGTAGGATAATAAATAATTCAAGTGTCAGCTTTTCTTCTTTGGCAGAAAAAACTTTGTCTATATATGAGTGAGAAATTTAGTATAGAAATTTGATCGAGGATAAACTCAAATAAACTATCTCATCAACCTAGAAATATCAAGATACGTTTTTTATCAGCTATGCTTAAGGAAAAAACCGATTTCTCTATTCTAGGGACAAAAACATGCAGAATTTAACAAGAGCAGATTAAAGAAAAAAGGGCTAAATAGTCTGTGAAAAGCATTAACTCCTGATCAACATGAGTAGCATGGATCCACACATCCTCTATTGACCCGCTTATGGCAGGTTAAGTTTACACATTTTTACAATGAAATAGAGCTACTGGCCATAAAAAATGATGAAATAGAATCCAGATTTTAAAGAGAGCCTTAAAATCCATGCAGGAACCTCCTACAGCAATCCATAGTAGCAATAGCCAGTTGCATAGCAAAAATTTGACTCGAGAAAAGTTTTCTAATGCACCCAAAGTGATTACAATCGATGACAAATCATGGATCCAGAATTTGCATTGAATGCTCTCAATCATCACTGGTTTTAAAAAAATGCACAACATACTTGAACAAGATCCAAATCCGGATTGAGCAACTAGCAAATGAGTATTCCACTACAGTGGTACCAAAAATTTCAGTAATGCTAACCTCTGGTGGATGAACTATTACTTCTTGACCATTTTCTCCACCCAATGAGCATTCTGGCCGACGGAATGTTGACAGAGCAGCCAAAGCAGCAACATTAGCAGCATCGACCAGATTACTGTTTTCATATTGGCAGATTGTTTTAATGAGAATAATAAGTATTTGATGTCTACTTTGTGGACGAGAAAACCCAGAATTCCTTACCCTCCGTTATCTAAGATATGGAGATCAATACGGATAGCCCATACCAACTTCCCAGCAAGAATGCAAAGAGATTCTGTATCCACAGCCCTGCTTTCCCTGCAAAACAACTTTGTAACGAAATGAGTCATCTCAATCCAGAATTCTCAACAGGAAAATTTCCTTAAAGAAGTTTGTAACAGAATTTCCACTCAAAGCACATATGAGCTCCGGGTCAAATGTATGACTAATTGTTCAATTTTGATAGCACAAGATTTTGAAAGTGCACACCATCTGTCCATTGTTCTTTGTAGTGTTCCTCAGTAAGGCAAGCACATAGTGTGCATGCATGTTAAAGTTGGTGGTGAATGGACTTCTAGAATCCTATACCATTTAATTTCGGATGAATATAATTGAGATAGATATAATGCAAGCATATTATCTACTAAGGTGTAAGCTTTACAAATTCAGAATGCACATCCATCCATCAATATTCTCAATATTCCTATCAGTAAATCCAGCATAACACTTAATGTTTGTAGCATACACTGTTCTAGAATATTATATGACAATGCTTTTGTATAATACACCAGATAGATAGACAATTTAAATATGGTAATACATGAAAACATAGATTAAAACTAAGTTCCCCTAGTAAAAAGAGATTAAAACAAGTTCAACTAATCACCTTAAACCACGGTCTATCACCCTGCCTAACTCAACTGCGAACTCCCCGGGACGACCAGGTTCAAACGAAGGATCGGCCATCGGAGAGAACTCGGTAAATATTGAAAGTGTCCCTTCGTTAGGCCTATCTCTATATGGTTGAACTAGTTGAGAAGTCACAAATCCCATTACACGCGTCTGACCCAGATGCACCTCTGCTGAGCCATCTTCTCTGCAGGTTTGGTAAAGTAAAAGTTAGATTAGAGTCAATCCTATTAAGTAATAGAAATAGCAACATGGAAAAGGAAAATCAAAGTAAAACAGGCACGTCAAGCTAATTAACCTTAAAACTTATTAGACAAAGAAACTTGAAGGTGAACACAATTATAGACCAGTGCTACATGGACTCCGAACCAAACAAATGTGACAGATTTCTAGCCAACACAAAAGTGTACTTGTCTATCCACAATCAGCATCATATCCACAAATAATCGTCTCCGCATGTAAACATGGCAACCGTACGCATACCGCCTAAAAAGGATAAACCGCAGCAATGCATCAAGTTCCCCCATTAGACCATGAACAAGAGAAGCGACTTGCAAGTATAAACCATGTTTGCATATTAAGGCCCGACAATTCATGTTCACTCATCAAATTCGAGTTTATGAAATCTTGTCATTGAAAGACATCATTCTTGATATAGAACACGTGTGCTAAAAAGACGATTTATGTTAAATTCCTCTCATTTCGTGTCAACCTTGAGTTCATCAATATGTGGCCTCCTAAATGTGTCAACTTGTGTGAACCAACACAGAAAAAAACTGAGACAGCATGCTAACACCGATAGACACAGCACCACTTCTCTACGAGGGGAAAAGAGTCAGCTTGCCAATTGGTAAATACTTTGCTGATATCCCGCCCTCGCATTGCTTCGCTACGCGGAAAAGAGCAAGCACGAAATCGCAGAGAAGAAGAGCGGCTGGAACTTACTTGCCAAACTTAATGCTCAGCTTGCGATAGTCGTAGACGTTCCGGCCGTCGACTCTGAGACCAGAGAGCAGGGCGCTTGCTATGAATTTCTTCTCGTTAGCGGTCATCCGCAACGCATTCGCCAGCCTCTGCTCCATCGTTCACGAGCATAAATCAGGGCCACCGGAGGAGGATTTCGACGGGGCGGACGGGGACCGGGGGACCGAGGCGAAGCACTGCCAGAGCCCGAGCGCTTGGGGTGTACGGGACGGACGGCGGCGGCGGCGGCACGGCGGAAGCGGAGGTATCGGCGGATGGGACGACGACGAGCCTTCGGTGGATGCCGACCTTGGGCGGCGGCGGCGGCGGCGGCCGGGATGAGGTTGTGGCCGTCGAGCTTGGGAACGGCGGTGGCCGTCAACGATTCGGCTCTCGGATTTTGAAACTGGAGCAAAGATTGGTTAAGAGGAAATCAAACTAGGGTTTATTCAGGGTATAACGGGCAAAAAACTCTACTTCCACAACTTTCATTTTGATTGGACCAATTTGCCCTCAACAATTCATCCCCAATAATCTCTAGCATAAAAAAATGAAAAAAAAAAAACCCTCTAAACAATTGAGCAAATAATCGAAATAAATCTAACCTTACCTTTTCTTTTCTATTTCTTCCTTGACAAAAAAACTTAGCTCCACTTTATTTTCTGAAATTGAACAAATCATATAAAAAGAAAAAAAATATCTTCAAAAGTATTCTCGGATAATTAAACTATAATGTAAAGTAAAGTAAAATATAATAAGCGATTGGATTGGCCTGTGATTAAGATTTACAACTGGGGTTGCACTTGACATATTGGATTGCAATATTAAGACATGAAAGAGTTTAAATAGGCCTTTGCGGCCGTTTCAAGTTGCAAATTTGATCGATGCATCATAAGAAAAGGTGAAAAGAGGTGACTAGCGTTAGCGACTCCTTTAAGCCCGATCTTGGGAGTTCCTGAACACGGAATGATCGGTTTGAGGCATGGCTAGGGCAATAACTTATAAGTTCAAACGGCCAAAAGTGTTCGATTCAGCATGGGGCATTGGGGGGGGATGGGATTGTTATCTTGGTCTTAATCGGGTTGTCTTCTTTGCAAGACATGATATCGGTTCTTTAGGCCCGTCCATCATTCATGCAATGCCTGAGGAAAAGCAAGGCCCAGTCCGTACAAGAACATGTATCCTGAGCTGGGCCACCTCCGACGAACGAAGTTCTTCAGCCCAAATGGATCAATAGAGCTAGACAATGGTACAAAAAAGGACTAAAATTGGTTTTTAGCATCATTAATGAATGATTAAGAATAAAGTGGTTCTTAAAGTGAGAACTAAAGTCGTCGCGTGAAGGATCGTGTCGAGGGTTGGACGCGACCTTGCACGAGGCATTAACGGGTCACATGACCCCGGCAAGAGAGTGCCTTGATGGAGCGTGGGCAAGCAACCACTGGCATCTCTCTCTCTATCCTCGAGTGTTTCTACTGTTGTCTCTAGTTGGGTACAATTCACAAGCTTAACATTCTTTGTTGTCTATTTAATTATAACTCTCATCTCTCTCGGGCTTTTGACATGTCCCTTTGCAAAGTGTGAGAGTCAACCTCACACCACCCAATTCTCTTACTACTGGGCCGCATGCTCAATGAGTTATTGTACATTGAGCCAAATATCAGGTATTATTTGTGTAATTATCCCTATAACAAACAACCAACATCACAAACAATCACATCTTTCATCTCTCTTCATTCAATTCTCTCTATTTTGGACCTCTCATGAAATTCAAGGGAAGTTAAGGGAATCGCAAGCGTATACTTTGTCTTTTGATTTGGTGGATTTGTTGTATCTTAGTAATGACTTTGCCTTAACCCGAAAGTAATACGGTGGGGAGCAAATATCACTTTCATGAAAGTAATCGCACGTCTCAAAGTGATCAGTTTTCATTCGCTTGGCTTTTTATTCGTAATTCTCGCAGCACAAAGTACTATGGAGAAAAATCTCACCAAACACCAAAGTATCTCCCAAATGCACTCAATTACCTAGGGGTCTAGAGAAAGAGCATTTGACAAAAGCGAACCGAAAATGGTGGAGGCCGAGAAGTCATGCACACACCGCGTCCGCACCGTCGTTTTGGTGGACCTTTGAACGCCAAAAGCAGAGCCACGATCCCAAGAAGATCAAAGGTCAGTGAGGTGAAGTTGTGTTCTCTTTTTCCATTTCAAAATGTTCAGCTTTTGCTTTTCTTATCACGTTTGCTTTCTCCGTAGCTCCCCCGTTAGCAAAGCAAATCCACTAGGTAAGCAAAAGGGAAAGTAAGGATTTCTTTTGGCCATAGAAAATAAGGAATTCCCGACATTCCACATTGTCGGGAAAAGATCGAGGTAGGTGCTAAATCGTACCTTTAACGTTTTGGCTGTTGGTCAATGGAATACCTAATCGATTATTTTGGTCAGTTAGATATTTTTTTTTTCGAGATTTAATCAAGTTTGGAACTCGCTGTCAGTGGATTTGGCTCTAATGTGGCCTTCTTTAATAGCAATGTTCGCCTTCGTGGCAATGACATGACTTCCTTAGCCTGAAAGCGACGTCGTTGTTATCTGCTCTCTTCTTTCCCAAGCAGGTCTATCTTGTTGCTCAAGCATCGTCGCTTGTCCCTCGAGCACGTCACTTCCTTTGGCATGGTTCACCACCCTCGATGCACTACCACGACCGCACACCCTCACCTCTGCCAACCCGTGGTCATGGACCTCCTTGTTGTGCTGTCATGTTCGTTTGTCTCTCTTTTTTTAGAGGTCCATGGCCTTGAATCCAAGGCCTCGGGTCAAGCGTACGAGCACAAAAAGAGAGAGAGGACATGACGTCCCAAGTTGAGTGACAAGGGACAAAGACGGTGCTCGAGGACACGCGAAGCTGGCGAGGCCTGGATGATATTAAAAAGAAGGCCATGTTGGAGCTGGACTTGAGCTGGATTTCTGGTATCAGAAAAACCAACTGAAGGCGAGTTCGGGACTTGATTGAAGCTTTTTTAGAACGTTAGCTACTCAATTCACAAAAAAAATGTTGGTTACTCAATCGACCAATGACTAAAACAATAGAACACGACTAAGCATTTATCTCGTATATTGTTGAAAAGACATGTTCTATCTCAATCGTGGATATCTATGTTGCAACAAGTTGCTCAAAAAATGTTAGCTTTATGTATACTTGGTAATTGATGAATTCAGCAAGGTATCTCTTACATTCTTTCCTGAACTCGGACAACTACATGACGAAGAATTTACAACATCTCTCTCTCGCTCTGCGATCCGAACTCGGTCGGGGTTGCTGATTTTGTCCATCATATAAAGGTGATGAATCTAAGATGTAACACCACTCTCTAAATTCATAAGAATCCAGTTCTTTACTCATATACCTTCAGTTATAGCTAGGTAACTTCTGTCTTTGGGAATTCAAGTCATATTGTTGGGCTCAACGCACTCTTCGTTAACCGCTTTCACAATTAGAACTCGAGAACCTTATTGTAAAAATAAGAAGAAGAAACATGATTGCAAGGGCATTCAATAAAATAATCTCAAAAAGAGATTGGTAGGGCAAATGATACATAAGTTTGAAACTAGGAAACAAACTCTCGGAAGCAGACTCGCTCGGAATCCACTCTCAGTGATGAGCAAATTTCACATTCCCAACATGGTATATGTTTCATAACTCACTAGAAAGTTCGTAGAGGCCCACTAAACAGTTCAATCCTCTCATTTCTTTCACATCCCAAACAGAGGAAATTATGTTCAAGGATTATGCTTTTGGGTGTAGATATAGTCGATGTGAGCAGCCAGAGTCCTCCTCACCAAGCATTCTTCTTCCCGAACTCCTTTGCAGCTCTCATCCAACAAGTCATCATCATGCTTCGTTTCGACACCCTGTAAGATAGAGAGCACAAACGGCTATGACGAAATTTACCCACATGATGTTCAAGTACAAACACGACGGATTGTTCTGAAAAATTTAAGCTATTACAGAGTAGCAACAACTTGAATAAAAACTTTGAAAGGCCGAGATTTCAGCATTCGGGCCAAAATGATTACTAAAATCCAATGTAAATAAACAACCCACCGCACAGTCAGTCTCGATTGGAGTAACATCGAGAAACACTGGCTCGTGGCGAGCAAAGCAGGATGAGATCGTGCAGAGGACGAGGAGAGACGTCAAGAAAAGGGTTGTGATCTTGGCCATCTTTGCCGTCTTTCTTGATGAAGAACAGTAAGGGGTGACGGTTTATATAGATAGGGAGAGATGGATAGAGCATATAGCTAAAGTTGACTAAAGTTCGTGTGAACCTGAGTGGCTTCAGACATCATTGACATAGACTGTGGCGTAGAGAATTTCGGTGGGGACGAATCGAAGATACGTAGAGAAATCAATGGCGTTTAATGAAGAGAGAGCGACCGAAAGGAATCAAAGTCCAAAGAGAGGAACGCAAAGTAAGATATTGGGTTAAGGTTTGGGTAGATGAGTGCGTTAAGTCTCCACTTGCATGGCAGGAGGAAATTGTAGATGGCGAAACGAAAGAGCAATTTTAGGTATTTATATTTTAAGAGCGGCTTAGTTCCAACGAGTCGATCATCGTACACAAATTCAACACGTAATAACAGTTTATCAAGCTTCAAGACATTATAATCGACCAAACCATACCTTAGGGGCATACGAGTTCTCTGACCAGTCCAAGTAACTCATCTGCCCCTTTATCTCTATGGCCATGCAATCTGCTTGAATTTGCGATACAGCCATTAACATGCATGTGTCATGCACACGTCGTATTTAGCGCATCGGTCGAGTAATATAACTATCAATGCTGCACATCAATGAGTGGCCCGTTCCACGTGGGTTAAACTGTGGTGCGCGAAAGGCGATCTTTAGATTCCTTTGGCATCGGATATGGAATTGAGATGTTACAAACTTTGCCACTTATGATATTAAGGTCCTCATTAACGTTACTCTTTAGCTCGGGAGCATATCAAGTGGGTAGAATTCTAGAGATATGGCCCCCGCATGTTCAAGTAATCACTCCCAATGCATAGTATTTTGTCTCCAACGGGTTAGCGGGCTTGGCTCCCGTGACGCAACACTTTATGGCGCATGGCACTTGATTTCAACACTTTTAGCAAGTGTGCTGCTTTGGTACTATTTGTTTCGACTCGACATATTTTACATGGGCCATACCTTAAAAAGAGTACTTAAACGATGACTTCGAAGGTGGGTGTCTCTCATTGAACGTGGGATTGAAAGATTATTATAATCATCACTACCAAAGAATAAAATTTGGTCAGGCTAAAAAATGATACAAATTTTTGAGTTCTATATTCACCCTGAATGATGATAAAATGCAAACAAGTAAAAATATAGTGTCTCCTGCTTACGTAAATGTACCATCTTACTATTGCGCTAGGATTTGTACACTTGGTTAGAGTGTTCAAGAATTTCTAACTCATAAATTGGAAATCACTTGTTCAAATCCGACAATCGTATGCCAACTGTTCCGGGTCATGACCACTTGCACAAGTAAAAATTCTGAACTTAACCGGTTTAGGAGATTTGCGGGGTGTTCACGGGCTTTCAGATAGCCGTACCTATGCACCGTGTCCCCGAGTTATCGAAAAGAAAAAAAAAAAGAAGTTTCTTTGGGTCGGCCATGACTTATCCGGACATTCCCTTTCTTCTGCCTCTAATGTCAAAGAAGCATATGAATGAAGGAAGATCATGTGAACCGATGGTCAAAGATTTTAGGATTGTTTTGCATCAGCTTTTTTCCTTTTTGTATTGACCAAGGGCGAGTAACCGTATCATAGGAATGTTTCAGATTCTGCGGCGTAAAAGAGTTAGAGAAATGCTGCCAAACAAAAGAATATATATATAAATTTACTAAGATTTGTCTTCTAATTGATTTAGAAAGTCTTTGCATTCAGTCTTTAGTATTGGTCAACATGTTATTAGATATAAGTCCGAAACGCTTTAACAAAATCACTGATACTATATGAATTTATGACATGGTCATGACCAGTGGAGAATAAACTTTAGTAAAGTATTGTTTATTTGGAGAACGAGTTAGTTATTATGATCACTAATCTTTATATGTATCATACAATGAACTTATGCTCTTGTCAAATGGTGAAACCAACAAAAGCGATGTCGGTGTGTGTGAACTTCCGGATCATCTTTCCTTTCATTTTTTACTTTTGCGGTACTGAGTTTTATATTTTTCCTAATAATAAAAAAAGAAAGGACGAGAAGGGACGACCCGCGCAACTGTCCCTCGGGATATCACAATAAGGGTCTCACAAATACGGTGAAATGTTCTATTTAAACCATAACTATTCAGGCCAACCTGTAGGTTTGTGAGCCAGTCACCGTGGCTCCACTGTCGCTAATTTAATCAATTGTTAGTTACATGTGGACCGAATTTCGAAAACAAGAAAAAAAGATAATTTTCTACGCGTCCCCTTCATTTGTTCTTCCTGTCTGCTTGTGAGAACCGGGGAGGTAAGAGTGGAAATTGAGTTTGTCTCTGTCTTTTGTTCTTTGTTGGGCAACCGAAAACCAATTTAGCATTGTTCTAGAATTTCGTAGAAAAAATAAGACGTCCATCTCAAGTTGCATAGACTTTTCTGGCCTCTAATCAAGTCCACCACGACATGTGATTTCATCAATCATAATCACTTGTTGGTGGCAAATTAGCGGATGGTTTGAGGAATTTCTGTTTGGCCACTTATGGTTTAACTGTTTGTCCATTGACTTTGTTCTTGGTAATCCAATTGGAAGGCTTGGGGGAGAACGTCTGTGCCATTAAATGTTGGCTCTCTACCGACCGTGTAGCTCTCCTCTACCGTTGGTGTTGCAATGGCTCCCTCAACTTACAAACCCTAACAAAATCCCTACTGGTTTGCTCAATCATCACCATGAATTCCCACGCACCTTTTGGTGCTTCATTTCTTCTCTCCCCCCTTTTTTCATTTATGGTTTTGACGTCACTCCCCAGAAAACCCTAGCCGCTGCCCTCTTCCCCATTTCTATATTTGCCTTCAAATCGATTATCAAGGTACCAATCTTTCAGAAATGGAAGATGACGATGAGGCCTCAGCTCGATTGGCTCTTCTTTGCATAAAACTAGGTACGTTACTCTCAGATAAAGACATCTCAGGAATTGTATCAACCGAGAAAATAGAGGAATGCCAGTCTATCTTAATGGGTCAACTATACCAAAATCCTAGTATCAATTTCCAGGCCTTTCAAACGGCAATGAAACGAGCATGGAAAAATGAAAAAGTGGAAATCACACCTCGGGGGCATAATATATTTAGTTTCACCTTCAGGAGTGAATTGGAAAAATCTAGGGTGCTAGAGGGAGGCCCTTGGTCTTTTTCAAATCACTTACTGCTACTTCATGACTGTGAACCAAATACTCCTCCCCACTGTTATAAGTTTGAGAAATGTACCTTCGGGATTCAAATACTTGGTTTGCCAATCGGATGGTTTTCCTCGGAAGTAGTAGAATCTCTAGTTAGCTCAGCAGGCCAGGTGAAAGAAGTGAGAATAGATGCTCGTGGCCCGGCAGCTCAAAGAATAGCCAAGGTTAAAGTAGAGTTAGACTTACATCAAGCTCTAACTGTAGGTACTATTGCTACCTTTGAGGGCAAGAAAATTTGGCTGGACTTTAAATATGAAAGGCTTCCCCACTTTTGCTATTCGTGTGGGAAAATAGGTCATTATGCAAATTACTGCGAAGAAATCCCATATGAAGAAGAAAGATTTACAACTGACCTGGGAAGTAGCTTTGGTAGCTGGCTGAGAGCTGAATCCCAGGAGAACAGTCCCTTTTGGAAAGTTTTCTATAGGAAGGAGACAATAGAAGATCTTATTGAAGAAATAATTCCTGAAACCTCAGTGCATCAAGGCCAAATTATTCCTCAGGAAATTGCTCAATCATCTCAAATGGAAGCTGCTAAAGAGGAAGATAGATATGAGAATATGCTATTTGAAGTAGACCAAGAGACTACTCAGGAGAAAAGGAAGAAAGAAACTAGAAAGGGGATTCAAATGATCACTGGTCCTACTCAAAAGCAGATTTCTCCCAAGGTAAAGCTGTCCCTTGGTCCTAATAGTAGTGGCATAAAGATTGGCAAGGGGCCAAAAACCCCCATAGCAAAAAGGCAGAGGAATTTCAGCTCTTTATTGTTGGATGAGTCCCAACTTCTAGAGACTCCAATCTTGGCGATTGAGGAAGCAACAAAATGGGCTTTGGTGGCTAGCTCTAATAAGCCACCGGGTAACAAATGAAGATCCTAAGTTGGAACTGTCAAGGTCTGGGCACTCCCTTGACAGTCCAAAATATAAGAGCCATGATGGTTCAAGAGAAGCCCAACTTAGTTTTCCTAATGGAAACTAAGAATCAGGAAGCAGTAGTAAAACGAGTAAAGCAGCGTCTCAATTTCCAGAATCACTTTGTTGTTAATCCAAAAGGAATTGGAGGAGGGTTAGCTATTTTATGGGAAGATCAAGTAAAGGTTAATATAGGAATGGCTACAGCTGAGTTTCTGGACTTAATATGTGAATTTCAGGAAGACAAAAAGCAGATGAGGGTTACACTAATACATGCCCCTACTAATTATCGAGAGAGGGATGGATCCTTCGTCGAAAGCTCCATGGAAGGCACAATCGCTTGCATCGTTCGAAACTCAGAGGGGACACTTGTGGATGGCTTTGCAAAACAAATCCATGTCTCCTTAGCCTCTCAGGCAGAATTTGTGGCTCTCTTGGAAACCCTAAAGTTCTTAGTCCCTCAAAGACACTATTCCCTTGAGTTAGAGTCAGACAATCTGACTTTAGTTAAAGCTATGGAAAACTCAGACGTTATTCCATGGGATGCACGTGCAATTATCTCCCAATGCCTTGATCTGTCATCTAGCTTCTCACAATTGTGTATCACTCATTGCCATCGTGAAGCCAACTCCATTGCGGACTGGGCCGCAAAAGGTCAGCGCCATAAAACTCTGCCGAGGGACTAGATTTCTTCCCATCCCCAAATCTTGTTGGATTTACTTTGTAAGGAAGCCCAGTTTATGGGCTCTTTTTTTCAAATTAAATAAAAGTTAATCAGTTTACGAAAAAAAAAAATCAGTGCCATTAGAAAGTTTGTAGATAATTTGGTCTACGCGCTTGCTATATAGCATTTGATGTTGGGGAAATTCTTGCTTGAAATGATTGTGATCACATGGGGTAGATTGGACCAATGCCATACTAGAATATGAGGTTGAGACTTTGAGTCCATGGCTCGTAATTAGTCAACTTTATGTTTACACCAAGTTATGTTCGACCTGTAGCAACTTAGTATATTCAAGACTTCCCATTGCTTTCAAATTAAAAAAAATAAAAACATACATTGATATTAATGTCTCGAATTTGAATGCAATTGATCAAGACCCAACTCAAATTGATACGTGAGAATGACCTACAACATGAAATAATGAGTTAGGAGTCTTAGGACAAGTGACAACCATCCAAAAGATTAGACTTGGATGTCGGGCCATGCAATGGCCGGCATCCAAGCTGGAGGTGGTTATCTAAGTCCACACATCCGGCCGATGTCCTGGCTTCGCCAAGCTTGGTCGGGGGTATAAACCCCCTTCTAACGGATGCCCGGACATAATTGGGATTCATTATTGATTGTATTTTGACCTAATTCGTGATCAATTGTTAGATCCGTCAAGAGGGTTTGTAAGAGTCTTTTGTGAGATTAGAGAGAGTTTCTGTCAGAAATCTTTGCGAAGGGCTTGTTTATGAGACTATTGAGTATTGATCGAACCTGGAAAATGATAATATTTTTTAATTGATCAATCGAGTAATTATAATCTCTTTGCTGTATCACTTATCTCTAGTGACATTTTCCACCATTCTAGGAGTACATGTACATGCCATCGACCAAATTTCGTAAATCTCGTAAGTGTATTCCTTGTATTCTGTTTTTCGTTTTGGGTATTTCAATCCGCTTAATTTGACTTTTACATTGTCTCTTCTACTGGTGCGAGATAAGATTCTGCCACATCTTAGATAGACCAGAATACATATTTACATGCATTGAAATTCCAAGCAATCAATGAGTGATTACTTGAGATAAAACATCATTATAGGAACCAAATGGTCACGTCACCTCAAGACCGACTCCTATCCACATATTCTTAAAAGTTGTGTGGATTGAGCATTAGTGTATTGGGAAAAAGCATTGAGTTTATGAAAATTGAAATGAACATGGTGGGGATATCATTTGGATCGGATGCCCCACAAAGAGGATTAGTTCTTTTCAGGACTTGAGGACACACATGACAGTAGAATTACAGGGGAAATTGCTGGTTGATAAAGTTCTGCTTTTGTTTCCATTACACACTGCTTTTCCTCTTCTTCCTCTTTTCTCTTAAGCAATTCTGAGAGATTCCCTGTTAGTAAATGAAACTACATTGTGAGAAAACAAGATGGGGACTTCTTGTCAAGGCAGGAAGAACTTGTTACGAGATAAATTATATAATCAAGATACATTTCAAGGAGACAACCCGAAGTCGCCAATTTTCTACGTAGGCTGCTTTTCGACATCAGGATAAAGATTCGTATATGATAAGATATGATATGATAAGACTAGAAAAAAAAAATACTTCAAATTTCTTATATCTCATGTCATTTATTTAGGAGAATATTGGATATACTAAATGAATTTGGCTATAACCTATCCTATAAAGTGTTTAAAGTTTTTTATGAACATAAGTTTACGCTTTGATAAAAAAGTTAAATACAAACCTAACAAAAGAAAAATCTTAAATCTAAAATGTGAAGGTCGACTACTGTTGATCAACATTGTCACGGCAACTATCATAATGGTGGTTGGTTTTGTCAACCACCAATCACCACCATAACAAAAATTGACATGTTGCATTTGTGCCAATTCAGTCCTAGATCTTTCAATTATGCTAATTTAGTTATCTATTTTTTCACGTTTTGCTAATTGAGTTCATTCGGCCAATCTTGGATGGAAATTGCTAACGTAAATGCCAGTTATTCTACGTAGCATGGCCGGTCCTGACATGAACAAATTTTAATAACACTACAAAAAAACTGGATTTTTGCCACGAAAATTTGCGACGAAAAAATTTTCGTCGCAAATTTGCGACAAATTTTCCAACGAAAAGTAAAATTCGTCGGAAATTAACGACGAAAAATTTTTCGTCGCAAAATTCGTTGGAAATTTCCAACGAAAAATTTTTCGTAGCAAAATTCGTTGGAAATTAGCGACGAAAAATTTTTCGTTGGAAATTTCCAACGAATTTTGCGACAAAAAATTTTTCGTTGTAAATTTCCAACGAATTTTGTGACGAATTCAAAAAAACCTGGTATTGTTCAGTATTTTTTAAATTCGTGGGAAAATTCGTTGGAAATTTTCAACGAATTTTGCGATGAAAAATTTTTCGTTGGAAATTTCCAACGAATTCAAAAAAACCCGGTATTGTTTGGCATTTTTTAAATTCGTGGGAAAATTCGTTGGAAATTTCCAACGAATTTTCCCATGAATTTCAATTTTCCAGGCAATTATTTTAGTGTGTACAATTTTCGTTGCAAAATTCGTGGGAAATTTCCCACGAATTTTGCAACGAAAACCCTACTCCTTCCTTATTCAACATTTTCGCGCTCATTATTCCCGCAACGATTCTCAATTTCCACATTTTCTCTCTCTCTCTCTCTCTCTCTCTCTCTCTCTCTCTCTCTCTCTCTCTCTCTCTCTCTCTCTCTCTCTCTCCGCGATCGATGCCTCCACCTGCTCCACCGCGTCCGCGTACTGGTCGGCGCACTCGCTGAGGCACTGCTCCACCGCCGGGCCCAAGCTCCCGCCGCCGTTGCCGAGCATCCGGTCGATGAAGGGGGCGGTGTCCATCGCGTTCGAGGCGGCGAGGCCGAGCGCGACCGCCGTGAGCCAGGCCCTCGCCATGGCAGGCGAGTTCTGGGCGACGTCGAGCTCGCCGGCGATGAGGCTAGGCCTCGCCGGCCATGGCGAGGGCCGAGCTCGCCATGGCCGGCGACCTCGAGCTCGCCCGCAACTCGGCCGGATCCGGGCGACCTCGAGCTCGCCGGCCATGGCGAGCTCGGCCCTCGCCATGGCCGGCGACCTTGAGCTCGCCCGAACGCTCGCCATGGCCGGCAAGCTCGAGGTCGCCCGGATCCGGGCGACCTCGAGCTCACCGGCGACGAGGCCGGCCCTCACCGGTCATGGCGAGGGCCGAGCTCGCCATGGCCGGCGAGCTCGAGGTCGCCCAGAACTCGCCCAGATCTGGGCGAGCTCGAGCTCGCCCAGATCTAGGCGACCTCGAGCTCGCCGGCGACGAGGTTGGCCCTCGCCGGCGGCGAGGCTGGCCCTCGCCCGCACGATTTTTGTCACGACGAAACTAATTTTGCCATGATTTTTCGACCAAAAAAAAATTTCGTTGGATTTCCAAATTTTTTCGTTGGAAAAAAGTTGTTTTTTTGTTGAATTTTCCAACGAAAAAAATTTCGTTGGATTTCCAAAAAAGTTGTTTTTTTGTTGAATTTTCCAACGAAAAAATTTCGTTGGATTTCCAAATTTTTCGATGAATTTTCCAACAAAAAAAATTTCGTCGCAAATTTCCAACGAAAATTGAAATTTTTCGTTGGAAAAATTTGCGACGAAGAATTACCAACGAATTTTTTTTCGTTGGAAAATTCGTTGGAAATTCGTTTTCCAACGAATTTTTCTCAATTTTTCGTTGGGAATTTCGTTGGAAAAAAGATGTTTTTTTGTAGTGTAGTTTTTTCAAAACTTTTATTATTATTATTATTTTAGTTTTTACTTTTCTTTTTTCCTTCCTTCTATTCTTTTTTTATATTTCCCATCGTGGCCGGCAAGGGTCTCCAAAGCTCACCGGCCACTGGGCGAGGCCAGCCTCACCATGACCTCGCCAGCTGCTAGATAAGGTAGCCTCGCCCGCGACTGGCGAGGGCATGTCCGCCCGCCTTCACCTGCAGCCGGTGAGGCGGCCTCACCAGCGGCCGCAATAGCCTCTCCCAGATTTGGATGGGGTGACATGAGGATGGGTTTGTTCTTTTTATCATTTTCACTTTCTTCTTAGTTTAGATCGTGCCGATCGGATGAGGATCATGTCCCTAATTCGTGATATTATTATCAATTTCCCATTAAGAGATGCACGCTTGTCTGTTCCTCATGTTCGGCCATACCTATAAAACCTATGACAAGAACCCTACTTTTATTCACTCGTCCCGTCCCTTTGTCCACGCACAGTGCACACTACTCAATCCTAACTCGGAGCTAGCGCCGCGTGGAGAAGGAGCAGGAAAGCAGATGAAGATAGAGTCTCAGAGTGAAGTAAGGGAGGAGTGGTTTTTGCTTATGAGGGTTAATCTGGGATCCCCACTTGGTTGGGGTTTCTGAAGTGTCCATCATTTAAGGGTGATGAATTTAAGATGTAACTTCACTCTCTAAATTCAGAAGATCCCAGTTCATTACCTATATACCTTAAGTTATAGCTTGGTAACTTCTGTCTTTGGGAACTGAAGTCATATTGTTGGGCTGAACGCACTCCTCGTTGACCTTTTCACTGTTAGAACTCGAGAAAACTTATTGTACAACAAAACATAGAAGAAGAAGAAACATGATTGCAAGGGCACTCAATAAAATAACCTCAAAAGAGATTGGTAGGGAAAAAGATACATAAGTTTGGAATAAAGAAACGAAATCTAAGAAGCGGACTCACTCGGAATCCACTCCCAGTGATGAGCAAATTTCACATTCCCACCATAGTAAATGTTCCATAATTCACAACAAAGTTAGTAGAGGCCCACTAAACTTTTCAATCCTTTCATTTTTTTCCCATCACTAACAAAGAGAACTAAGTTCAAGGATTATGCTTTTGGGTGTAGATATAGTCGAGGTGAGCAGCCAGAGTCCTCCTCACCAGGCATTCTTCTTCACCAACACCTTTGCAGCTCTCATCCAACAATTCATTCGTTTCAACACCCTGGAAAATAAAGAACACAAACGCCTAAGACGAAATTTACCCACATAAATGTTCAAGTGCACACACGACTGATTGCTCTAAAAAGTTTAAGCCGTTACGTAATAGCAATAACTCGAATAAAAACTTCAGGTCGAGACTTGAAAACTTGGGCCAATATTGTTATTGAAATCCAATTTAAACAAACAACCCACCACACGTTTAGTCTTGACCGGAGTAACATCGAGAAACACCGGCTCGGGGCGAGCAAAGCAGGACGAGATTGCGCAGATGAGGAGGAGAGACGTGAAGAGAAGAGTTGTGATCTTGGCCATCTTTGCCATCTTTCTTGATGAAGAATAGTAGGGGGTGACGGTTTATATAGATAGGGAGAGGTGGGTAGAGCATAGTTAAAGTGGACTAAAGTACTTGTGAACCCAAGTAGCTTGAGACATCATTGACGCAGACTATGGCATAGAGAATTTCGGTGGGTTCGAATCGAAGATTCATAGAGAAATTAACGGTGTTTCATTAAGGGAGAACGACCAAAAGGAACCAAAGTCCAAAGAGAGGAAAGCTAAGTAAGATATAGGGTTAAGTCTTGGGTCGGTGAGTGCGTTAAGTCGCTGCTTGCACGGCAGGAGATTGTAGATGGAAAAATGACGAGTAATTTTATGTAAATATATTAAGATGGGATATGTGCACTAGAAGTCCTAAAACTTGTCACAAAAGTGCAATTGAGTCCTAAAACTTTCAAAAAGTACAAACAAGTCCTAAAACTTGTCACGAAAGTGCACTTGAGTCCTAAAACATTCAAAAAGTGCAAATAAGTCCTAAAACTTGTTACGAAAATGCAAACAAGTCCTAAAACTTGTCACGAAAGTACAAATAAGTCCTAAAACTTTTAAAAGTATAATCAATGGAAGGACTTGATTGAACCAATTTGACAAGTTTTAGGACTTATTTGTACTTTCGTGACAAGTTTTAGGACTTGTTTGCACTTTTTTAAAGTTTTAGGACTCAAGTGCACTTTCGTGACAAGTTTTAGGACTTGTTTACACTTTTTGAAAGTTTTAGGACTCAATTACACTTTCGTGATAAGTTTTAGGACTTTGAATGCACTTATCCCTATTAAGATTGGTTTAGTTTCGTAGAGATGTGTCAGATTGAAAAAAGAATATAAATAAGTCGATCATCGTACACATATTCAACACGTAATAATAGTTTACCACATCGCCTAGTACACTAGTTTTGTATATCAATTGCAGTATATTCAGCATTTTTTCGAGAGAAATATATCTACACTTGTTTTGTCAAGATTTGGCATGGCTGTGTCAATGACAAATGGTATTATGGGGGGTTGCTTAATAGTTAGTTCTACGAAAGGGAGAACTTCAGGATAACTACATTCTAGTGTGGTTTAAAATCATTCTTGAACAACGTCAAGCTTCAAGACATTATAATCGACCAAGCCGTACCTTAGGGGCATAACTCATATGCCCCTTTATCTCTATGGCCATGCAATCTGCTTAAATTTGCCATACAGCCTTTGTCATGCATGTGTCATGGACAAGTCATGATTTGGCGCATTCGTTGAATAGTATAACTATTATAGCCACACATCAATGAGCGGCCCCAGTACTCAAACGGTGATCTTAGGAAGAGGATTTCTAGTGTCTTATATGGAATTGCGGTGTTTATGATACTAGGGTCCTCATCAATATTACTCTTGAGCTCAGGAGCATATCAAGCGGCCAGAATTCCAGAGATATGGCCCCCGCATATTCAAGTAATCACTCCCACTGCATAGCATTTTGTCTTCAACGGGTTAGAGGGCCTGGCTCTATGTCACGGCACACGGCACTTGAATTTGTTGAAATATCCCACATCACTTAACTTATGGAGTTTATATGCTCTTTATATACGTATGATCTCTCTTCACCTATAAGTTTTTGGATTGGACTTTTTAGCAGATTTCAACACTTTCAGCAAGCGTGCTGCTTGTTGACACCTATTTTTAATTTGCCCAAAATTAATTGCACAAAATTTAGGAATTAATTTTCTTTAATTCCTAAAACAAAAATATTTCAATTTAAATGCATTGCATATAGACATTAGGCATATGTGCATTAATAGGGCCTATTAGAGCATATTTTCTTAAATTTTAAACAAAAATTTAAAAAAAAAAAAAAAAAAAAAAAAATTTCGGGCCGGGTCGGGTCAGCCGACCCGGCCCTTTTCTTTTTCCTTTTCTTCCCCCCGCCTGGGCCCCGGCCCATTCTTTTTTCTTTCTTTTTCTTCCCCACCTTGCACGTGGGCACGGCCCGCCCGGCCCTTTCTTCTTCTTCCCCCTCGCCGGTCGCTCTCTCGCCCTGTTCTCCCCGTTCGCGACGTCACGCCGACGCACGGCGGCGCCTCCTCGCCGTCGCTATCCGGCCGTAGGAAGGCCGAGAGAGCACGCCGACGGGACCGGCATTAATTGCCGGTCCCGTCCTCCCCGTTGTCCCGGCTTCCCTTATCTCCTCCTCCCTCTCGCCTCCCTCGTTCGTCCGCTCTGCGCCTCACCGAATCGATCCCTGCTCTACACGGCCTAAATGGCCGCGAAAGTCGCGCGCCGAGTAGGCCGGTGCAGCACTGGTCGTCATTACGGCGTAACGGAGCGAGAGGGCACGCGTCCGGCTATAAATAGCCAAAGGGAGAGAGAGAGCTTGGCGGCAAAATTGAGAGAGAAACAGAGAGAAAAATTGAGAGAAAAAGAGAGAAAATTGAGAGAGAAAGAAGGGAAAGTCGGTTTTTGGGTTCCCAGCCGCGTCGCCGTCGCCCCCGATCAACCGGAAAGCCCCAGACGCGCCGTCGACGGTGAGCTCTCAGTCCGGCCCGAACCGCCTCTGTTTTGCTCTGTTTTTCTGCTCGGTATGGCCGGGACTCGCGCCGGCCGTTTCGCGCGAATCCCGGCCCATACCGTCATCCCCCGCCGTCCGTGTGTCCTCACCGAAGGTAGGTTGATTCGCCTGAATCCTCCGGTTCGCCGGAACAGGTCAGGATTTGTTGTTTTTGGAAGCGCACACCATCTGTTCGACAAAAGTCCTCAATGAAACCGGTTTTTGTTTTGGTCGCCGGCCGGCGAACGGCGGTCGGACGGTGACCCCGGTGGGTGGAGAGGCTTGGTTTTACTCCCAGGAGGCCGATTTGGGGGCGGCGCCGGTCTGGGTCGGCCGGTGAGAGGCCGTTTTTGGCTTCGACGGGGGCTGCTCCCACCGGTTCGGCCTGACCCGGTTCAGTTGACCCGACCCGGTCAACGCCCCGGGTCGGATCTGTTGACTCGGGTCGGTCCAGCCGACCCGGTTCAGCCGATCCGACCCGGGTCAACGACCGGGTCGGATCCGTTGACCCGGGTCGGTCCAGCCGACCCGGTTCAGCCGATCCGACCCGGGTCAACGACCGGGTCGGATCCGTTGACCCGAGTCGGTCCAGCCGATCCGACCCAGGTCAACGACCGGGTCGGATCCGTTGACCCGGGTCGGTTCCGACCCGGTCCGGATCCCTTTTTTTTATTTATTTTTATTTTATTTTATTTTACTGCTTTTTAAAAAAAAATTTAAAAAAATTTCAAAATTTTTTTTTTCTTTTCTTTCTTCTTTTTTATTTGTTTTTTTTATTTAAAAAATATTTCGTATTTTATTTTATTTTTTTTATTTTATTTTTTTTTTAAAAAAAAAAAATTTATTTTATGTGATATATTGTTGTTGTTTTAATCTAATGTGATATTATTTTGTAAGTTTTTGTCTTATTTAAATTAGACAAGCCTGAGGTTGCGCGGTAGTATTTGCATGTTAGTTTTTATTACCGTTGTATTGTTATGCATGTTTTTAATACAATTGCATGAATGTTGTGTTTTTGAATGTCATCTGACTTAGTTAGGGTTAGAACCTTAGGCTGCATGAATTGTCGTGTTCCTGACTGCTGATCGTTCCTGATTATGCACTCGCTTGATCACCTCACATATTAGGAGAAAGGTCCTAAAATCAATCCAAATTGCCTGACAAATGTTTTCATAAATGAACAGGGTAAAAAGGTACCGAAAGGGCATTAGTTATCCAACTAGTGTAACCAAGTCCCCGAACTCATTTAATCTCTGGTTCGTAGGAATAGGGTGATTCTCCCATCACCCTATTTGGGTTTCTAATCGACCCACCCCAAATCGATTAGTGGCGACTCCTTGATATAAACCACTTGCATGTTAAACACTTAAACCCTAAGTCGCGATATGGTATGGGCTTGGGAGAGCCCGAGTTAAGTCCCGAACCTAGACTTAGCACGTACCAGGCGAGCCCCCCTTCTCTTTGCATGTCGTTTAAAAAAGGGCTCGGGAGTTCGGTCGCGACAGACTGGCGACTCCGCTGGGGACTTGTTTTTTTTAAAAGTGGACTTAGGCCAAAAATTTTATCCTGTTCAAAATGATTTTTGTTTGGCAGCAAGGACTCCAGGTATGAACCTGACATTAAGGTGTTATTTGTTCTTGCAGGTTCGAATTGATTGTTTATAATTTGTTGTGCATGCTTTAATGATTTAGCACTACACCGTTGTACACACAACCACGCTGCCGGACCTGGGCCGCGATAGGGCATCCTAGGATGGTGTTAAGAAAGATACGACCTCAAACGCGAGTCCGCGATGTAGAGGTCGCCTTTCTTTTCCCCGGAATTTATTTCTAAAAAATCGTAAAGAAGTATCTTTAGCCGCTATTCGCGTGACTATAAGATATTCCTTTCGATTCGGCCGAGGTTAAAAGGACTTGACACCAACGCGAGACTGCGACGGTCAGGCACCCTTTTAACTTCATTTTGTCGGGCCGATCTAGATAGAAATCGAACCTCACTCCTCATGTGTATGTCATTGTGATTGCCATGGTTCAAGGAAAGGTATATATTCTGTCCCTTTTCATTTTATTATCCAGCGTACTTATTCATTTGATTCGTTTTTTTAGGCCACCCGTTGATTGCATTTTATACACGATGGGAAGAGCTGATGTCCAATTTGTCCCCACTCCTAAAAAGAGCTTCGGCATGGTGGGACCGACTCGATCAAAATGGCCAACAAGTATGTTAAAGCAAGAATTGGTCGCCTACTCCCCTTGCTCAAAATCAACATCCATTCTGGCATGATGCAAGCATTAGCACATTTCTGGTGTCCACAAACATCCACTTTCATATTCGGTAAGTTTGAGATGACCCCGACCCTGGAGGAGTACAGCGTTGTCATTGGAAAGCCTTTGGGATCTGAACTCATCAAACCACTTTTGGGTGTGTCCCCTCTATCCGAATTATCCTGGGCTT